ACTTAGTTTAATCTCTATTTTTATGGGATTTGAGTAACTCTTTCCGAAAATCACTATTCTTTTAATGGTTTTGCTGATTACTTTACTCTATTAAGATTCATGTGCAAAGATTATATTTATTTCCTTGTTTATGAATTTAATTGGTCATCTCCGACTTAATTGATTGCCTGTATAATTTTAGGATTCTTACTAATTCCTTATTTGGCATAATTTGGACTCCTAAACCCCTGTTGTTACTGTTAATCAATTATCCCTAATTAAGGGGGTCTATTCTAAACCCCTTTTATGTGATTTGATTCTGAAATTCTGTGATTGTCCCTAATTGACTGGCTTCTGATTCTTTTACATTACTGGTTTTACTTCTAAAGTGTTATATATACACTCTTGTTTTACCTCTCAACACACGAACAACTAGTTCAAAACACACACACATATAAAAAAAATCTCTCTTCTCTCTGCTACTTGTGCTAACTGCTTGTTTAGCTGGCTGCAAGCCAAGGCTAGACTGTGGAGCTCTACTTGCTTTACTTTTCTGCATTTTTTCTTCCCTAACTAGTATGTTCCTAGTTCAATTCTGAAACTCAACTCTATGTGCTCCATGTTTGTTAATCCATGTCTCCTTCTGCACTCATTTAATGGCTTATGTATTTAATTGCCCTTCTTATTTACTGCTTTAATCATCATGTTTAAGTTTGCACTCTCTTGTTCAAGTGTATAATCAGCATGTGTACTTGAGTTCTTGTTTATTTCCCTCAACTAGAATGCCATGTTAGTATCATAGACTACTAATGTACTTAAATTAACACTAAGTGGCATGATTAATTATGTGTAATAGACCCCTATCCTCAGCATGACTACTCTCATACCCTGTCTCTAAGTCTTATTGACTATTACTATTCTAATTTTGAGCATGATTCCTTTGTTAACATTTTGAAGCAGTAGTTTTGTGTTCTGGAGGTCAATCATTTGCTACTTGTTCTTTGTACCTACTGGTCTATATGCTTCTCTTCTCATCTAGGTTTATGTGTTTCTGATTTAGGCTCTCTATGTCCCCAACCCCTTACTTCCCTGCTTGTGAATATTGACATGATACTATTCTTTGAACTAGTTCTGTGTGTGCTGGTTTGTTCCAAGTTGTTGTTGCTCATATTCCCTCCTCCTTTCAAAACTATTTTTCCCTAAGCAACTCTTCTGCTGTTTTGCAAACTTATTTCAAACATACTGTTTCAAAACTGTTTTCCAATCCAACCTTTTCAACACTATGTTAAGCACTCTCACTCTACTCTTAGACCACTAAGTTCTGCCCCATTTGTGTGAGCTTTGCCTTGGGACCCTTAAGCTCCCTTTGAACTTGGACACATGAAAGCTGGCATTTCCATGCTGCACTTACTCTGTCTTGGCTATGAAATCTGGGTGTGAGCACTACCCGAGATCCCTTGAGGTCCTTAGGGAACTCTGACACACCCAGATATGAGGAAAAGATATGAAACAATCTTGGCACCTGAGGTGATTTATTACATAACTTAGGGAGGAAGTCCAAATCAGGTGCTGAAAGTTTGGTCCTATTTTCAGGCTCTCTATAGTGTAACTTTTATCTTCCTTTTCTGCTTATGTAACTCATTTCAGCATTGGTTTGTAATAATCTGTTGTAAACAAGTATTGGGTTGGCTAGTGAAAATGGGAGGTTAATTATACATGCTATCGACATAAATGGGTAGAAACCATGTCTTAGGTTTACATTTCCTATGTGTGCGTTAGAATCCATGTGTAAGATCAACCCAGTCAAAGCATGTCATGCACTAGATACCATGTTTCTTAGGTTTTATTGTTTCAGCATCTCATTTGGCATCACTTTGCCACTTAGAAATCATGCTTTAGGCTAATAACAACATTAATATGAAATGTTGCTCCTGCACTTAGCAACCATGCTCTAGGAATTCTGCATATTCTTCAATCATTTTGCATTTTTTGTATGTGCACGTTAGATACCCAGTTTTAGGAACTCGCTCAGTCACACCTAGTTAAACTAATAATGCATGAAAAGAGATATAAAACAGTCTCATGTTTGATTATCTTGTTTGAGTGAAACTGGTCACAATCCCTGCATGATTTTGCAACATTTAGAACAACATGTTTCAGGTAAAACCAACTTCCATACTGTTTCAATAATTCTAGTAACTACTGCATGTTATTTTACGCCTAGGTAGATTAAATAGATGCATCTATGGTTCGCGCCATTTGACCCTCTGGCAGTGCACAATTTAAATGTTGTTGGATCGGGTCGTACGACCTCGACATGATTTGCGCATGCTTGTATTTGCTTGACTTGCAAATTGTAAATGATGATATTGCCTCCCTAGCTTGAGATAATGCATAAATGATGAAAAAAAATGAAACTGGAAATTTCCTATTGATAAAAGAATTGATTACTTGCTTCATGCTATTGAGTTACAATCATTTTTATAAAAATCCTCGATTTGCTATATTATTGGTATATTATTATTGGACGGCTAGTAAGTGTCGAAGTCGACCTCTCGTCTCTACTTCTTCGAGATTAGACAGGATACTTACTGAGTACACGTTATTTTTATACTCATACTACACTTGTTGTGCATTTTTGTTGCACATGCACATGTACATTTAGTGGTCTAGTTTGGCGCGGCGGCATAGTTGATACGGGGACTTAGGTGAGCTGCACTTCTCGAGACGATCCGCAGCCAGCAGAGTATCCTTCAGAGTATTGTGTTGTATTTTCTTTCTACTGTCCAGCTTGTTTTCCTGACAGTTATTGTATTACATTATTTCCTAAAAATTGCTCATGCACTTGTGATACTGAATTTTGGGATGTCTATGGGATTATTCAGCTTTTTAAGATTGGTAAAGGGTGAAATTAATTATTTATTGTTTAATGTTTAAAAGAAATGATTTCAAAAATATTAAAACAAGAAATTACTAGTTATTTGGTGTTGGCTTGCCTGACAACGATGTTTGGCGCCATCACGACCCTTAGTGGATTTTGGATCGTGATATATAGTAAACCCATGCCGGTTTCGCTCCGTTGTTAGTTTTAATTTCTTTTTTCGGCTAACCAAGTGACTTCTTTTCTTCGGCTCTTGCCTTCTCTTCTTCCAATTCTTCAGATCTTCAAATATAGGTTTTTTCTCAAGAAGTGCAGTAAGTTCTTTTGGACTTCTAGATGCACTTGACTCAACAGAATAATGTACAAACTATCGGATAAAAAGAAATTTTTGGAGGTTAAAACTTAAGCTTGGAATATGGAAAGACTAGTATGCATCCCAAAAAACACTTATGCAAATTTAATGACCTATTATTTCAATCCAGCCGTTGCAACTTTAATGAACCATTTTAATATCAATTCAATCATTGTAACCATTAGTTGAATTGTTGCAACGCTTTACATTCTTCATGTTGGAAAAAAGAAATAAGACATTTAATATAACAAAAAATGAGAGGAAAAGCCAAACAAAGGATAAAAAAGATAAGTGAGTTTCTTGGTCAAAGAGAGGTGACACCTCACTTTTCTATTCCTCTCTTTTATATATAGATATAAATAAATATAGATATATATAGAAGTGTTGCTTCAAAATTGGTCCAAATCAATATCAAATGACTCCATATTTAGTATACAACCTTCTAATACCAATTTCATAGCTTTCAATGATTAGATTCAACTTAAACCCTCAAAAATTACCAATTTGTCTTCTTTAATAAGATTTTTTTTCAAGTTCAAACAAAATCCAACAATGATGTTTCTCAATTTTCTCAATCTTAACCAAACCAAGTCATTAGGGGCAATATAAGCTTAATGAAACATTACCCACTCAATTCTAACTACAAACAGGTAATACATATATAATTTTCTATACCACATATTTCATTATTTTTTACTTTTAATTGTGTGCTCATAATTTATTGGAAGAAGAAGAAGGAAGGAGGAGAAGAAAAAGAAAATCTGACAAAAGGCTAAAAAAACAAAGATTTTCTTAATGGAGTAAAAATTAAACATTGCTCTAGAGGTCCATCTAGTATAATTTCTTGGCTAAATTTCCTGAGGGCCACTTAAATTAAAAATTAATTTACTCGCAAAAGTTTTATTTTCCGTCAATTCTCTTCGTCGGCACTGAGCCACCATTTTTCACAGTTAATCCACCATTTTCAATCGTAAGAATCTAAATTTGATCCTTTAGATTCTAATCAAACCTAAGTAAAAAAAAATTAGCCTAAAATAGTTATAACACTCTAGAAACGGCCCCCAAAATTACACCGGCAAGATTGCCACCGTTAAAAATGTCAACCATACAAAGAATCATCCAAAACTGTCACTGCCTCACCTTTTTGCCACCGGCCTAACACCTTGCTTACCATTTTATCTTCGTCACCTCCTTTTCAACAAGCTCACTAACAATAGACCAAACAGATCTGAAATGCCACCATTTCAATTTCAATACTCTTTGCCGCCAAAAATTAAAAAAAGAAAAAAAAATGAAGAGACGATCAATAACCAAATCGATATAAATTTCTGGTTGTGGAGGAGTTTGAGGGTGTGGGAAAACAGAATGGAGGGAGGGGAGAGGAAGCTGGGAACGAGAACAGGGAAGAAGAATTAAATAGGGGAGGGGTTTCTTCATTTTTTATCCTTTCTTATTTTTTTCCCATGATTTTATCTTTCTTTTTTTATTTTATAATTTTTTTAAATCAAATCAATTCATTCATGCGCCTTATTAATCGTGATTTGCATCCATTTTGGCCACGTTAACTATAATGTCGTCAAGTATAGTCAACGGTCAAACGTGTTTATTAGTACTCAGTTCATCAATGTGCTTAAATAGAAAATGTGTAAGTTTATATACCGCCTACCGGTATGATAATTGGGTGCAAGTTTAGGTAGCGCCTAGGCCATTTTGCCTAATTTCTTGTTAATTTAAATTGTTGTTCGCCCAACCACTTAAACTAAAAATAAGAAGACATGTAAAGCTTAATTAATTGAACAAGGAATGAAATACCATACTCAATATATAGTACAAATCACACGTGAGAACTTATATATTGTCAAGCCTTATTGCACAGATATCCTAAGTAGTGGCCTTGTAGCTAGCTTATTAATAATGGACAAAAGCTAAGTTCCAGTACATTTTACAGATCCATTGCTGCGGAAAAGCTTGCAACCTTTTTTTGCTGAGCAACAGTTGACACATGGTTTAGTAATCTTTTGTCGAGTAGATGGGCAAACCATGTAAGCTACATCTGGATCGCAATTCCGTGTACAAGCCTTGCCATCTGCACATTTCACTTTATTTCCTAGTAGAATCGCTCCTGCAATTAATTCAACCATGTTAATTCTATTAGGAATTAACTTCACTTTTGTGTAAATTAATTGAACATAAAAAACTTTAATTTCTTGAGTACTACAAGAAAAAAAAAGGCGATGATTTGACATAAAAAAAAAAACTTTACCGGATAAAAGGAGAATAGCAAGAAAAGCAACTCGGTGAATAGCCATGAAATTGTCTTGATAGAGTAGTAATCCCATTTACTTTGTGCATATGAGGACATGGATACTATCCTATACCGCTATTTATTGCGAACGAGTGTTACTAAAAAACAAAGCATGAAATAGAAAAAATAAGAAAAATAATAAAGGAAGAAAGAGAACTTGTTGTCAAAATAGACTAGACGGTGCCAGGTCAAAGCTACTTCTGTGTGCACATTAGCTTGCTTGAACAAATTGTCTACATTTTGGTACAATTTGAGATAGTGATGAATCATTAGCATATCCTTCCAAACCATCACGTGGATACAAAGTGTAAGATAAAGTCGTGTAGAAAATAAGCTAAATAACAATTGACAGGGTGGCTTTTTGTCTACAACAAAGAGTACACTTCTTCTGACGTTTGTCTATGTTGCTCGTTGTCTATACATGTGACTAGTTTCGTTCCTTCTATATTTTCCCCTATTTGCCGACCGAACTCCAATTAAGAAAAGAAACTCTCTGAGTTAAGGTGATGCATACTCGGAGAAATTAATGATCCACCAGGAAAAAAATCAAAATAGAAAATAGTAATTTCTCTGCACTAAGTATTCTCGATGATAGGTTCAAATATATACTAGATGATAGGAAAAAAAAATGTTCTTTATAAGATAGAATAGTCTAACAAACACTTTTATTTGTTCGATTTTGATATTCCGGCCTTCCTACTGTACGGAATTTTATCCAAGACACTTCAGCTTGTAGTCTACCATTATCGATTATGGAGAAATCAAGATTTTCTATATGGTTGTATCTTTTGAAATACTGTTAATCAAATAAAATTCATCACATGATTCGTCTTGAAACTGCGTGATATATTTGCATACGATGACGGCAGAATTTGTTGAATTTTGATGTAATCAAGTGAAAGAGAGACACACATATGCCGTTTAGATGGTGATAATAAGTTTGTGGTTATTTTTACGGCGAAATGACTTCCTGACCACTTAAATTTGTCGGAGTTTTTAAAGCCGATACACAAACTTTGGATTTTTTCATTTGAACACTCGAACTCGTTTTTTCCGTAACTAATAAACACATTTGACCATTGACCATGCCTATGTGGCATTAGTCGGTCCTAATCAGTAGCCCGCGTGAGGAACACGACGCACTGGAGCGTGAAAACCCCCTTCCCAACGCCCAACAGTACAAAATGGGTTATGTTTAATGTGTTCTTATTCATTCCTTCTAAAATACCCCATTCCTCCATTTTTAGAATTAAGANGAGCCCTGCTGCTTCGCTTTCGTCGTCACTGCTCAAACGACCCTCCACAGCTCCCCGCCATCACCAAACACCAAACAGGCCCGTCACCTTCCCCCAACACCACGACCAACAGCAACAACCTAACATCCCGTCAAACCCTCCCCTCCAAAACTCCAACGCCATAACCGTCGTCACCTGAACACCACGTCCAAACGACCACCTGCTCCGACGACACCATCTCCCTCGTCGTCTCGCAACCAGTCCGTCAACCAATCAACCAAACCCAGCTCGCCTCCTTCCCCAGCGACGAACCAGCACGCCATGCCAAGCGATTATCCAATCGCCACTCGCATGTCCAGTTGCTGCGTTGCTGTGTCGTTGAGCAGCTCAGCCGTTGCTTCAGTCCGGTGAGGTTGTTTTGCTCGTCGAGGTCCGGTACGTCGAGGTCGCTGTCCGAGGCGTCAAGGTCCGCCTACGGTTCGTCGCGTTTCAAGGATAACGCTGCCTCGCGGTTAGTTGTTTTTTTTTCCAGATTTGTTTGAAGATAATGAGGGTGAAAGTGTCATCCAACGGTGCTTTTGAAATGACAAGGGAAATAAAATGTTTAATATAATTGTCAAGACCAGCACCATCGGAAGAGACTATAAATCTATGTTCAATTGTGTTGTTTGCACTTGGCATGTTTTGAAGACTGGAATGACGAAGGCATTTTGTTCTGCTACATAAACACTTTATCCTTCGTTAACCCCTTTTGAAACTTATTGTTTTTTCTTTCGTACCCCTCTTTCGGAATCATTAGAAACGACTAGAAAATGCAAACATGACAGGTAAACAAAAAAGAAAACAACAAAACGAAAAAAAAAAGAGAAAAGAAGAGAAAAATGATTAAAAAAAAAGAAAGTCAAATGAAAACCGAGGAATTGGGAACTACGTTTGACCTGATTCCTCAAAGAGGATACGTAGGCGCTTCACGGCTCGGTCTTAATTTTGAAAAATGAAAAAAAAAATCAATTAAAATATCCCCAAGCAAGAAACTGGGGCAAAAATTGTGTTTGTTGTAA